CACACACTCACACTCACACTCACACACACACCCTCACACAGACAGACAGACAGACACACACACACTCTCTCTCTCACACACACAGACACACACACACTCTCTCTCTCACACACACAGACACACACACACACTCATCAGTATCTTCAGTCTGTCATTTTCTCTTGATGAAGCTCAGATGATGTCATTCAAACAGGGCAGATTTCTGCATTAAAGAAAGACATTCTAGAAAATGAAATTTAGTTCATCTGTGTTTTTGATGGATTTTCTGAAGTGTTGCATTTGTTACAGAAGCAGATAAACAGCTGGAGAACAGCAGAATAACACATTAAATAAAGCACTAAAAAGGCCTGCAAGCTTGGTAAAATGACTAGAATGCGTTTTGGGAGTATTGGAAGAACTGAAGCAGAACTTAGTAAAGCATTTGGCTTGATTTCCACTGTGTTTCAGAGCTCATTTCCCCCTTAATGTTTAATTATGAACAATCCCTAATCACTTTCAGTCTTTTTGAGCTTCTCTGAATCTGTTCCTGAAGCAGAAGAAGAGCCGGGGAACAGCATCAACATAAACAGTCCCTTCATTTATCCTTCTCATGTTCAGCCCCAGAAAACTGTTGATGATTCAGCGTGCTGTGTGTTCTTTGCCTTTGAGCAGAGACGGGAGCGGGGCGTTAGTGCAGTGCGACAGGTCTGAGATCAGATGCAGGTCACTGTAGATTTACTGAAAGAAGTGCATTATAATTCCTCACAGCTAGTGATGATACATCTGTGTAACACTTTATTTTAAGGTGTCCTTGTTACACGTTACATGTACTTACTATTATAATAACACTTAATAATGCATAATTACATGCAAGTAACCCTGAACCAAATCCTAACCATAACCACATACAGTAAGTGCATGTAGTTCATTAATATTACTCAGTACTTAAATGTATAATTACTGAACAAGAACACCTTAAAATAAAGTGTAACCTAAATGTGTTGTAGAAGGCGCACTATCTGCATGTGGATCAGCACTAAACAGTGAGAATGTGTCAAGGGCAGATGTGCGAGAGATTACACACCCCAACAATCCTCTTATGCCAGTATAATCATATAATCAGCCGCTGCCATGTTTCGCTGTCACAGCACTAGCACTTGATTTTATTCTTATTTTCTCGCAGAAGTAGGCTTTCAGATCAACCGCAGTCGTTCTTGCTGCAAACCCTGAATGAGGAGCTGGATGAGAGCAGACTGATCTCGCTGTGAGCAGCAGGGGGCAGCAGACGCTCGAGAGCCTCACTGAAGAACATGAAGAACATGATCACTGACACTAATATCAAGAGCTCCAGGATTTCACCGGGGTAAATAAGAGGCCTACAACCCCCCTAATCACCTAAAAACCTTTAGCTTCCTTTCTTTTAAGCCTTTATTTAACCAGGAAAGAACCTCACTGAGATTAAACATCTCTTTAGGAGTGTCCAACAGTGCAGCACAACAATAAAATATCAATAAAAGTACAGCATTAGAAGCATTTGCAAATCATTAAATCGTTTTCTATTGTGCTTTAAAAATGTAAAAAAGTGTTTTAAAATGACTGAAAGACATTTGTTTGAAGAGAGGGAGATTATAATAAGACTGGGAACGCAATGAATAGTTAACAACTACTTTTTGTTGAATCAAACATCACTGCAAAAAATGCTTTTCTTAAAAAAAAAAAAAAAAAAAAGATTTTTTTGTTTTGTTTCCAGCCTAAATATATAAAAAAAATGCTTAAATCAAGAAGGATTTTCTAGACAACTAAAAATTATTGTTTTCAGAAAAAAACAAGTCAAATTAAGTGAGTTTTTGCTTGAAACAAGTAAGATAAGTAAAATCTAAGTAAGAGAAGCATTTTTTGCAGTGGAAGAGATGGCAAAAAACAACAACAACATTTCTTTGTAAATCAATAAGTGCCGATGCATTTTCCTTCGAACAGCAAGAGAAGACCAGGCTACTCTTATATAATGCACAGTGATGTGTAGAGAATTTGCAATCTGTAATAAATCTTAAGGCACCATGATACACATAAGTAATTAATGTGTGAATTAAAACGTAGTGTGTCATCAATTCTGATGCCCAAGTACTTATACTCTGACACTAATGCACTCCGTTTCCACTCTTTCAGGCCTTTGGACTCATGTTTTCTCACTTCTGGGTCTGTTTGAGCTTCTCTTGGTCTGTTCCTGAAGCGCTAGGAGTTACTCAGAGCCTCAGAAGTGAGCAGTGTTCAGCAGAGCTGCAGGTTTAGGACGGCTCGTTCTTCACTGGTCACTGAAGAGCTCCTTCATCTGTCTCTAATGCAGCCGGATCGTTCACAGTATGTCATGTTCAGCCTCCAGTGGCTTTGGAAAAATGTATAAAAAGATCAAAGAGATGAATGTTTATTAAAGGGATCCTATTATGCTCTTTTACAAAGTCTTGATTTTGTTCTGGGGGTGTACTAGAACAGGCTCTCATACTAGGTTGTTTGAAAAAAACATTATTTTTCACATATTTTACATTATTAGAACACCTCTCTCCCCAGTCTGGCATGAACGACTCGAATAGTTCCTGTATCAAATGAAGGCCCGCCTTCAAATGTGATTGGTTAGCTGGGCCAGTGTGTGTTGTGATTGGTTAGCTGGGCCAGTGTGTGCTGTGA